CCAGAAATAGACCCCATAAATGCCGTCAACTGAATTTGGACCAAAGAGCAAAGGCAATATAAAGGAGGAAACAGAACAGGTTCCATCTTGAAAGCAAGACTCCATCTTGGGCCGGACTGTGGACATTGAGCTATATGCCCAGTATCTATGGAAACAAAATACCAATGGAAAACCTGACCCCCCCAGATGAAGGAGCCTCAGGACTTGTACCTAGACTCTCCTAAAAGAATATGCTAATTATCTCTGTAACAGAACAAAGTCATAAATCCCATTATGCTTATCAGGGTATGACCACAGGTCTATTGATAAATGTCCACTATTTAACTATCTAGGCTTATGACACATGAATCATGGGTTAACTTTGATTGTATCTCTCTTTTACCTTGTCCAGACTAGTTTCAAGGAATTTGGGGAAGTGGGTTTGAGCACATACACTTAGGGTATATAAGGTTTTCACAAAAACTGGTCGGGGTCCTTGGCTAAGAGGAGACTCTTGGGGCCGCCGGTGTAATAAACTGCACTCTACTATCTGCATTGTACTTTTGAGTGAGTTTGTTTCCCGGAACCCGTAGCTACAACAAATACAACAGAGAAAAAGTAGTCTTTTCAACAAATGGTACTTGAACAATTGAGCATACACACACACACACATACACAAATTAGATGCTGATCTAACACCCATCACAAAAAAAAACACAAAATATTATTGCTGCTATTTTTACTTTCATTTCCATAGAGCAATGATTGGAAAAAAAAAAAAAAAAACTATGTATTAAATATTTATGGAGTATAGAGTAACAAGAGACTTTCATCTGTTACCTCATTTGAATCTTTAAGCTAGCCAGTGAAACTAGTGATCTATTTACTTTTCATGTGAAGTGCCTCTGCTTTGAGGTAATTTATAAAGATCACAATGAGAGGGTAACAGGCAGGGAAGGTCAGGGGTCTCCAAAGAGAGGAAATAGGCTGTAAGTGTCAGACTTTTTTTTTTTTTTATCTCTCTCTTAAGCTGCAGGAGGAAACAAATAAGTGTTAGATTTCTTCTCCTCCTCTATATAAATTTAAAAGGAGGTTTCTCTTAAAATTGTGTGTTGCCATGATGACTCCTGGCTCCACCTGAATTTAACTTTTCTCAAACCTTGAGCTAACCAATGCATTTTTCTTATGGAAATGTTTGTCTTAAGCTATGTTAATGTCTATGTATTTACCCTAGATTCTGTCAAGTGGTTTCTGCCAAAGATACAGAACCAATTTTTTGGACTCTATGGGAGAAGGTGAGGGTGGGATGATCTGAGAGAACAGCATCAAAACATGCATATTATCAAGTGTGAAACAGATCGCCAGTCCAGGTTGTATGCAAGAGACAAGTGCTCGGGGCTGATGCACTGGGATGACCCAGAGGGATGGGATGGGGAGGGAGGTGGGAAGGGGGTTCAGGATGGGGAACACATGTAAATCCATGGCTGATTCATGTCAATGTATGGCAAAAACCACTACAATATTGTAAAGTATTTAGCCTCCAAGTAATAAAAATAAATGAAAAAAATAAAAAAATAAATTTATCATTGCTAAATCTTCCTACATATCAAAACATTTAGCATTATAATATTTCTTTGCTTAAATTCAGCTTTGTTAGATGTTAATATAGACAATCCAGCTTTAACTTATAGTATGTTTTCCTTTAAGCCCATGGTCACAAGTGGAAACACACACATACACACATATATAAGTATACAATAAGAATGTACTTATGTGAATGAATATGGAGAGAAAGTGCAATATTTCATTTTAAATAAAACTTTGCACATAACAACAACAACAAAAATAACCAATTTGACAAACCAGTATGTTTTACTCATACGTTGTTCTAATCTATGTTAATGAAATTAGCTTGTAAAAGAATACTAAGTCAGTTAGGGTCACAGTTTGACTCAAGCATCATTTCTAAGTCAATCACACCAAGCTGACCAATATAAATTTTACTGATTGCTTTATTTTACTTTTCAGATTTCTGTGAAAATTTATCTTTCTTTATGAGAAAATTAGCAGAAACAGGCAAACAGGGCAGCACCTCATAGTCAGGAAGACATTATATATTCACAGGTATGTTTAGAACATTCTGTACTTGAGACGTTGTGCTAGTCTCTGAGGACACGGAAGTGAACTAGACACAGTCCACTCATCTTACAACACCTGAGGTAAAAGGGATGGTAAGACAAAAAGCATCAAATACATAATTTAAGGTATATAAAAGTATATATATTATATATAATGCAAATATATAATATATATAAATAGATACAAAACTAAATATCTTCAAAATTAAATTAAATTACAAGGAGAAATTGATGGCAAACATATGATATCGCTTATACATGAAATCTAAAAAAGAGTACAAATGAACTTTTCTACAAAACTGAAATAGAGTCATAGATGTAGAAATCAAACTTAGAGTTACCAGGTGGTAAAGGGGTGGAAAGGGGTGTGGAGGGATAAATTGGGAGACTGAGACTGACAGATACACAGCACTCTCTGTAAAATAGATAATTGGTCAGGAATACTGCATTGCCCAGGGAAACTCTATAACGTGTTCGTTCCTGTGGGGAAAGAATCTAAAAAAGCGTGCATACATGTTCATGTACAGCGGAGTCACTCTGCTGCACACCTGAAATTAACACAATGTTTATTGGAATATGGTTGTAGATCAAAATTAAAAACAAAAAAAGAAGAAACTGGGAAGCACACCACTAAGATGGGAGAAATGGAAGCACTGGGTTGGCCAAGAATGTTATTTGGATTTTCTACTCTGTAAGATCTTATTCACTGGACAACACAATACATAAAGACAGAAGATGCATTATAAATTGCTACTTAGTCCATTTCTGGACTCATCAGTATAGTGCAGCTCATACTGTAAAAATCTAAAACATTCTGTTTCTAAACCTTAACCATGCATAAACATTTTTGAGACTGGGTATCACACAGGTAATGAGAGGAGGCAATTCACTATTTTTTATTTAAATGGGGTGAAAGCAGGATTTTTAAAATCCAATAGTGTAAAAAACAGATTGATATTTGTTTATAGATATAATATTTACTTAGCACACTGTAATAATGGGGAATACATGTAAATTCATGGCTGATTCATGTCAATGTATGACAAAAACCACTAGAATATTGTAAAGTAATTACCCTCCAACTAATAAATATAAATGGAAAAAAAAAAGAAATAGAAAAAAAATAAAATGAAAACACTTAGCATTAAAGCATAAAATGCACCTTTACAGTATTTCTAATGCCTTAAAATATGGAGTCTGAAATAAAGATTAGTCTTAGTAATTTTTGAAATTTTTTGGCTGCCCCAGATCTTAGTTGCAGCATGTGGGATCTTTGATATTCATTTCAGCATGTAAAATCTAGTGTGTTTGCTTGCTTCCCTCCCCCGCCCAATCTTATGATTTCTTTCCTTTCTTACTTATTGTGGTAAATGGATAATTTATTATTATTATTGGACTTCCACCATGGAAGTCCCTAGTCTTGGTAGCATTAAAATTTTCCCTCTATATTTGTTTTCTAATGTACTTAATTAATCATTCACTTTCGGCTGCACTGGCCCGTCGCTGCAGTGTGTGGATTTCTCACTGCGGTGACATCTCCTGCAGCGGAGCACAGGCTCTAGCGTGAGGCTTCAGGAGCTGCGGCACTCGGGCTCATAGCTGTGGCTCACGGGCTCTACAGAGCGGGCTCCGCAGCAGTGGCACAGAAGCCTAGCTGCTGTGTGGGGTACAGAACCTTCCTGGACCAGAGCTGCAACCTGTGTCTGCTGCATTGGCAGGCAGATTGTTATCCACTGTGCCACCAGGGAAGTCCAAAAAAAGTGACCATGTACATTTGCAATTGACAGTCAGGGAATTTTGAATGTGTTAACCAATTGTAACATTTCTCATTTGTTATTAAAATAATTGTGCATGGCTTTAGCTATCATAGTCATTATTGTGGTCCCATGTGTGCAAATAAAGTGCTGTTTGTATGGAAAAAAGGGAATTCTTTCATATTTATGGGTTCAAAACATAAATATCAACTCATATTATTTAACACCTACTTAATTTAGAATCTCTTCCAAATTCCTATCTCATGCAAGTATAGCTTGCTTCTCTGGGGTTAACAAACACTATCAATAAATATTCCTGATATTTTTGGCAGAGCAAGCAATAGAGCAACTGTTTATAATGTATATAAAAACATTTATAATAAAATGTTATAAAACATTTATAAAACAATTTTTAATGCATCTCTTAGGGATGGTGTGTGATCTCTAAAAAGTCCTTGAAGAATTTAAGGATATGGAAATGTTATTTGTTTGCTGCAAATCCATTTTCTTTCTGTATAACTTCTGGCACTGCTAACTCCAAGGTCATTCAGGTAGCCACATTCCCCATCTCCTGTCATGCCGAACCTAAAACCAAACACAAAAATATTAAAAAAGCCTGGACATCTACATTCATTCCTCCTCTATAATCTTCAGTACCCCCGACTTCAGGGATTTTTAATGTGGACAAGAGAAAAATGAAAATCTGTTGTTCATAAGGCTTCTGAGTAAATATAGACGATTTCTGTATTCAGTTCCTTTTATATTCTCAAAGTCCCGTCTGGAATATTGGAAGATTATCATCATCTATCCCAAATTCAGTTATGTTGTTGACTAGGTATTTAACTAGGGCTCACTGTTGCAGCCAAGTGAACTGCTGCCATGGGTGCTGATAAAAGAAATTGTCACATACTGAAATACTGGTAAGTCATTCTGGCTTATATATGACTTAACTTGAATTTTATGCTATAAAATAGTCTGTATCATAGTAAACATCCACTGTACATCTACTTTAATTATTAAACAAAAGGGCACACTGACCAGAAGTAAAGAATGTCCAAATTAAAAAGAAAGTTTAAATGTCCCTCTTCTTGAGATACCAACTAAAAAGAAAGTTTAAATGTCCCTCTTCTTGAGATACCAACACGGGTCCTCCTTCGATGGTAAGACTCCCTTCCCAGGTGAAAATACTGTGTTGATACACTGTGTACTTGGTGGTCTATCCTTTTTTTTTTTTTATAAAGCAAAACCCTGTAGGAATGTAACCCTGACTTGTTTAATGTTCTCTTTTCTGACAAGACATAAAACAGGGCCAGAAACCCCGTTTCTCTGAAACAGTTTCTCAGAGTCCATCTGGGAAGTGGGCTTCTGGGCTAGTCCTCAACTTGGCTCAGATAAAACTCTTTTCTATTCTTATTTTTGATCTTTTACTGATTATTTTAATTAGCTTTCAGGGAACATGATTTTCAGTGTTCTCCTGACCTGGCTCATACATGGGTGAAAATAAAGGTATGTGCTTACTAGCAAATTCTTAAACAGGCTTAGCTTTGATTGAGGGAAGTGACCGCCCCTTATATTCTATAGGCTCCAAAGTAATGTTTACATTTAAAACATTCCCACTGAAGTGTTCACAACCCAAGATGTGTTACTAAATTCCTTCCAGGGATAAATTATAACAGGAGGGATTCCCACTGGTTCTCTGATATCTTCCTTTTAGGAATTGGCAGAGCAGCTGGCAGAGTGGACTGAGGGTCTGTGGATACCAATTCTTCAGTGGTTTTCCAAGACTGTAGGATCCCAGAGTACCTCAGCTGTTCTCTCTACATTCTAAATATGGATTTCAGCACAGTTTAAGTCAGTGGGTGAAAGCAGAAGAACTATGTCCAATGTCATCATCATGCTAAAGATTTCAACTAAAAACGTGATATGTAAAATTTTCAAAAAAGGCACAGATAATAAACAGAAGAGCATACAAAGGATTTCTATTTTATACCTCACAGTGCAGCAAACTTTCCATGATATTAAATTTACATTCCCATAAATACATCTCTCACCCATAACCACATATAAATAAAACAGAAGGCAGTCTAAAAACTTACGACGTATTATATGTAGAGTTGTCTGTCCATTTCCAAGCATGATGTGATGATTCTCTGCTAAGGCCAATCCAATGGTCAAAAGGGCCTTTGTGACTTTTCAGAAAGTTCTATTATAAAACACAGAAAACAAAAACACATGTATCCTTCATTTTACCCTTGAGTCCTCTTCCCCCCAGCCTTCTCTCTTTGGATGGCAGCCTGGTAAGATTGAGAAGCTTAGACATTGAAGGGAGAAGACTAGTCCCTAGTTCTCAGCTTAAGTCACTCAAATGTCTCTGATCCTAAATTACATTAAAGTGATCACACATCTCAATTTGACTGGGAAAGTCCCAGGTTATGCCTGTGGTTCCAACACAATACTGTCACTTCCAACATAATATTGTCACTTTCACTCCCCAAAATGTCCCAATTTGCGTGATAAATTGCATGATGACCAGACTTCTTTTTACAATGGGAACAATATATCTAATTTGAAGGTTAACCATGAGGATTACATGAGAGAATCTGTCTAAATTGTCTCACAGGGTTCCACGTAGAGAACATACCCAGGAAATATCAGGCACTAATATGCACTCCAAGCCCCCAAGCCTGCCTCGAATGGGATTCTTCCTCTTTTTTCAGCTGTCACCCTGTGCAGCCTACATCCTTATCAGGGGCTAAGTATTCAAGAAAGAACATGATCCAAAAATATTTCTTACCAGCTCCTCCTTGGTTTCAAACTGAGCAAGAACAGCTTCACATGAAGTACAAAATGTCTGACTGAATGTCCAATTCTTTGAGTCTTCAGAAAAATAAAAACACTTACACCCAAATCCAATCCATCCTTTTGGGCAGGGGACATACAGAATGTGTGAGTCTGGCTTTCTGCTCCTCACTAAAAGTTGAACAGACATAGTAAAGCATAACAAATAAATTTTCTCATCCCTTTTATTATTTTCCACTTACCATCCTGAGGTCTGTCTTTTTAACATATGTATGTATTAATATATACATATATACATGTATGTATATGTATATGTAGGTACAGTATAACTAAATTCCAAAATGAGGCGTTTGAAGAAAAGCATGCCAAAGAACAACTAGACTCTTGTACTTTTATGGCCTTGGCTAACAGCATTTTGTTTTTCTCAAAACCTGAACAGGGGCTACTTTCTATAGGTAGACAGATTATTAGAAATGTCTTCCAAGTCCAAACTCGTCAGTTTTTCCCAAAGAACAGTTTTTCTTTTTATGTATTATGGCACCATTCATTACATATAGATTTGTGGAACCAGTTCTCTGCTGCTCACTAAAAGTTGGACAGACACAGTGAACATAACAAATAAATTTTCTTATCCCTTTTACCTATTATTCCACTTATTATCCTGAGGTTGGTCTTTTCTTTTCTTTTTTTAAATTATGTATGTATATACATATACACACACATGTATTCATGTATGTAAGTACAGCAAAACTAAATTCCAAAATGAGGAGTTTGAAGAAAAACATGGCCAAATATAAACTAGACTCTTGTACTTTCTGGCTCTGCAAATAGCATTTTGTTTTTCTTAAAATCTCTACAGGACCTACTTTCCATAGGCAGATAGATTGTCAGAAATGTCTTCCATGCCCAATGCGTTTGTTTATCAGAATGCAGTTTTATTTTATATGTATTTTGGCACCACTCATTACACAATTTCATATTATTTTGCTTCCAGAGTCACATTCTCAGGTGCTTATCTACATACTAAACACTCTCTATGGATGCCACCCAACTCTGGGTTATATGGAGAATCGCTGAGCTGTAACGCACTTCCAACTAATATTTCTAATGTCTCTTGAAATGCTACCAGCTTTAACCACTTATAAAACACCAACTGCTACTCACTGTGTGGAAATGTGATTGTACTTTACTGCTTTCAGAAACAGCAGACTTTTCTCAGATCTATTTTTCTCATTTTGGTTTCTTGGAGAATGCAATATTGAGATCTGTGGTCACTTGCAGAGTGCAAGCTAGTTGTAGTTGATTTTCCTAAATGATTTTATTAGCTTGAGAGTTTGTCTTGGAAAGAATGTTCTGTGAAAACTAATATATGAATATATATATATATATATATATATATATATATATTTTATATGGTGACTCTTTACCTCTGAGGTCAGTCTTGAAGTACATATGATATTTGATTGTTGCCTCCCAGAGTCATCGCTAACAGTCTTATCTCAGGCACAAAAGCCATCAATCCACTGATCTTCTAGCAGAGAATCTGTGCATCTCACTTCCCAGGGGTCCATGGACACTAATGGTTTTAAGGAAATCAATTTCTGTAGCATTTAATTTCTGTAGTATTCTTTCCTAGCATCATACAGATTTCCCTTTCCCCACATCTTCCTTAATATCAGTCCTTCTTACTCTTGACATAAGAAAGGCAAACTCCTTACCTTTCCTAGATTTTACTATGATACATCTCTTAGGGGTATAAAACCTTCCAGTAGACAAAACATGGCATAGTTCAACTCTTGATTTTAGTACCAAAAATACAATGTAGTATTTGCAGTGTTTCTGGAAATGCTATTTTATATGTATTTCTGTTAAATATGTATAAAAATATTTGGGCCCTTGTTAGATGCTCTGAAACCAGCAAGACATCAGAGTATAGGCTGTGGGAAGAATACATGCTTTTGCTTCCTAATCTCACTTTTTCTTCCCTTATATAATATGATAGGAAATACTGTTCGTTCAACTTTCAAGATAGATTCTGACACCAGGTCCCACCTTCACTGTTACCACCAGGGTCAAGCCATGGTCTGTTCTGGTGTGGATTTCTATAAGTTTACCCTAGTAGCTGTTCCCAAAGTCTAACTTATCTTCCAACAGTCTGTTCTCGATGTAACAGTCAAAATGGTTTTATTCTACAATGAAATTCAGATCATGGCATTCCTCTCCTACAATTTCCCTCTTCCTGATGCCCCCCACTGCACTCAGATTAAAAGCCAAAGTCTTCACCTGACTCAATAGGCTGTGACCTCCCTGACCCCCAGCCCATTACTCTTCCTCATTCTCACCTTGCTTCAACTGTAGAAGCCTCCCTGCTGTTCCCCAAACCTGCCAGGAGCTTCCTCCTTTCATTCTACTTGTTCCTGCCATCTGCAATGCATTCCCACATGCCCAATGGCTTCTTCATCTCCTTCAAGTTTGCCAAAAAGTCATCTTCTCAAAGAGGCTTTCCCTGGACACTTATATTCATCTCAATCTGTTACCCTATATTATAATATCTGCATCTTCCTGCTATTAATAGAATTGGAGTTCCCTGGGACAGGGAATTTTTTGTGTTTTGTTCACTGATATACCTCAAGCATTTCACAAACCCTGGCACATAATGGAGCTCAATAAATATTTATTTACAATGTGAATGTGCAAAGAACATGGTACAGCTTGGAGAACAGGTAACTCACCTGCCACACAATTGGTAAGTAAGACCACATTTAGAGCTATAAGCACAAAGATAATCACGATGCAGCAGTAAATCTTGGCAGGTGTAACAGGAGATATAATTGCTAGGCATTTCTTTTGGAAATCTTTACCTGTAAATGGAAATGTCATAATCTTAATCTCATGGAAGCATTAGAAACAAAAACTTAAATGTATCACAGAATCAACATGTAAAATCAACTGTACCTCACCTCCCCTATTGCCAAAATCCCTCACAAAAGGTCCATGTCCAGGAGAGATGGCCATGGCTGAAAAGCGACCCAGAGATAAGAGAAACAGTATTTTTCCCCTGGAGAGTCTTCCAGTTATTGTAAGAAGAGCTAATAAGAGAGTAAGAAACAGATAGACTAGAAACCAGAATGAAAACGAAACATACAAACAATCCAAATTTACCTCCTTAAATAACAAATTTGGTTAGAAGTTATAAGAGGAGCATTAGAGAACTAATCAATATAATTCATCATGTTAACAGAATAAGAGAAGAGAAAGGATATGATCATCTATATACGCATAAAAGGAGAAGGAAATGGAAACCCACTCCAGTATTCTTGCCTAGAGAATCCCATGGACAGAGAGGCATGGTGGGCTGCTGTCCATTGGGTCGCCCAGAGTTGGACATGACTGAAGTGATTTAGCATGGATGCATGCATGCATAGACATAAAATGTGGGAAAACCTAAGAGTCATCCAAAATAACAAAGCCCAACAAATTATGAACTGAACTTTCACTTTTCATAGAAATAGTACAGCTACCATGATACTTAATGGTGAAAAAGTAAATGCCTTCCTCTAAAGGTCAGGAACAAAGCAAGGATGTCTGTTCTCACCAATCCAATTGAACATTTTACTAGAGGTTCTATCAGTGCCAAAAATGCAAGAAAAATAAATAAAAGACATATGAGATTAGAAAGAAGTGAAAGTGTTTCTAGATGTGGTATCCATTCACCTCTCAGTAGAAATATCAATTTGAAAATTATCTGCACATGAATCTACCTTCCCCAGAGCCAAGGATTCCAGGCACACCCACCCCTGCCTTGTCCCAGCTCCTTGCACTCCAGCAGTCCCAGCAGACAATGCAGCCTCAGACAGCTTCCACCCCAGCCTTCCTGTGGGCTCCTAGGAGCCAGGCTCCTGTCTCCCCGCTGCACCTGCCAATTCCAGCAGCTCCAGGTGGGGCTCCTGTGTCCCTTGGCTCCTGGTGAAGTCCTGGGGACCATGCCCCCCAAACCCTTCCCTCAGGACTCAGCAGTCCAGCATAGACAGAGACCCTCTCCCTGCGGGAAAGGAGAGTAAAGCAGCACTTGACTTCACTACAGATTCCAGGTCTACCTGCTCTAGCCTCACATCAGTCTGACTCCTGCAGCCCTGGGTGACAGCCTGCAGACTCACTAACCGAGGCCCCCCTCTCCCCAGTGCCTGCCGGCTCCAGTGAGCCAAGTGACTCCTGTGACATTATGCTTGGTATTCTAAGAGATACCAACAAAAATCAATTTTTTTCTTTTTATTTTGTTTCCTCTCCTCTCCCCATCTCTGATCCATAAAATATCCTGGCATCCAGACCCCGACATGATGGTTCTTTCAAGATGCTAGTCAGCCATCTTCTTGGTCAGCCAGCTCTCTGAGTAAAGTCATATTCCTTGCCTAAATACCTTGTCTCTCAGATTTATTAGCCTATTGTCAGGGGTGAGCAGAGTGAGCTTGGGCCTGGTAATACTCTCAACTTTTAGGTTGTGAATACTTTTTTAAGTTTACACTTCCACAATTTTTTTCATTGTTAGAAGAGTAAGATGTGAATCTCCCCATACCTCTCTCCAATGAATCTTCTATTTGCCCCTTACTAATATTCTTAAGGGGGGGGGGGGTAAATAGGAGATTCATTGGAGAGAGATAAGGGGAGATTCACATCTTACTCTTCTAACAATGAAAAAAAAATTGTGGAAGTGTTAATATTCTAAAAGGGCTTCCCTTGTAGCTCAGTCAGTAAAGAATCTGCCTGCAGTGCAGGAGACCCAGGTTCGATCCCTGGGTTGGGAAGATCCTCTGGAGAAGGAAATGGCAACCCACTCCAGTATCCTTGCTTGGAAAATCTCATAGACAGAGGAGCCCGGTGGGCCGCAGTCCATGGCATCACAAACAGTCGGGCAGAACTGAGTGACTAACACGGACTTACTTACTAATATTCTAAAGGGGGCTTCCCTGGTAGCTCAGCTGGTAAAGAATGTGCCTGCAATGTAGGAGACCTGGGTTTGATCCCTGGGTTGGGAAGATCCCCTGGAGGAGGTCATGGTATTCTTGCCTGGAGAATCCCAATGGACAGAGGAGCCTGTTGGGCTACAGTCCATGAGGTCGCAAAGAGGCAGACATGACTGAGTGACTAAGTACAGTATTCTAAAAGTCTCCCCCTTTTCTTCTCTTTATTTCTCTATATCTTTCTCCTAACACCCTCCCTTGTTTCATGTTTCATGTCTCTTTCTTGCTTACTTTCTTCCCTTCTGTTTTTTTGTATGGATATAAAATTTGCCACCCCAAAAATGTTTCTTTGCATGTGGATTATTTCAACCTAAAAATTAGCAAGGCAACCAAAATCTAGGAAGAATCTTTGATCTTTGCCCTATTTGTCTAAAAGAATTTAGATAGAGGGGCTGTTTAGAAGAAAGCTATCACCAGAAATATGTGCAAAGAATATGGGCCTGCATGTGGTGGGGGAGACTGGTCAGGGCCTAGAGATCAGAGTCTATCCTGGCCCTAAAGATCTTTGTCTCTGCACAGCCCTGCAAACATTTATTCACCAAACTTCTGCTTTTCCATTTCCATTTCCTTCTCTCTGAAGTCCCAAACCACTACCCCCAACATCTTTTGTCTTTAGCTGAAGATGCTATTTAAGGTGAAGCTATTGGCCATTTTGGTGAGCTACTCAGTTTTCCTGGGCCTGTCTCATGTATACATATGATTCAACTTGAGATGTGGAATTTCTTGCCATATCAATAAACAAGGATGTCACAGTCATCAGCAGTTTTGACCCTCCAAATGTGAGATTCTGAGTCTCGAGTGAGCTTAGGAAGGAGAATGATGCTTGCTATCTGGCAGTCATTAAGCTGCAGTCACTCCCTGCTGTAAGCACCAAGGAAAAGTGCAGGAGACCAGCCCCGGACAGCAGCGGTGCGTATCAAGGGAACGATTTCCGTGAGCCCAGACTTACATCTTCCAGTACATAGAAATCACTACATTCCTTAACTTGGAATATCTGGTGTTCTTTAAATCACAATAATGTTTTGATGTTCAGATTACCTGCCCCTTGTTCTAAACTTCGACATAACCTGACTCCTTCCCCCTCCCCTCCTCAGAGCAGTTTTTATGGGGTTACATGAGACATTGTCTCCAGCCTTGAAGCCCTAAGAATTCTCATCGAATAAAAAGTAACTCTCAACATTAAGGTGCATATATTCCATCAGTCTGAAAACTTTTGTTTGATTTTTATTTGTTATCTGTCTCATGTCAATTTAATTCTTAAACCAGAAGAGCAGAGGAAAATGTCTTTCTCCCTTATACTCTCCTGTGGTGTGTCCTCTTCCTGTCTCCTTCTAAATTCATGTGGCTTTTATACTACACTCTGAACACTTCAAATGTCTAGTTTGAAAAATGGTGTTAGAAATTATCTCACAGAAAAACAGAGAGGAGCTGATGATGGAAGTTGCTTAACCACAAAACCAAGCAGGCTTGTCTAGCAACAGAATCATGTGATAGAAGCACGAGACATGCCCCCAAACAATAAAACAGTGACACAATAAGACCCTAATCCTGTGCAGTGAGCTCAGTAAGTTAATGATTCTTGTGATATGCACATTAAAAAAAAAAAAATCTGTGGACCTAGCTTGACCATGTAGAGAAAGGAAACTCCTGATCAACCTGGAGGAGTTGCTAATGATGGAAGCATGACATGTACTCAGGAAAGACAAAGGTCTTCTCCACCACCTACTTTTCCTTTGATAATAAAGCTGTAGCCCAGTAAGTTCTGCAGTGCAGGAGGACACTGCCCACCCACTTGAAAGCCTCACAAGTGTTCTATTCTAATAAATCACTTCTTATCTATCACCAGGGCTTCCCTAGTGACTCAGATGGTCAAGAATCTGCCTGCAATATGGAAGATCTGGGTTGGATCCATGGCTTGGGGAGATCCCCTGGAGAAAAGATCGGCTACCTACTCCAGTATTCTGATCTGGAGAATTCCATGGACAGAGGAGCCTGGCAGGCTACTGCCCATGGGATTGCAAAGAGTCAGACACGACTGAGCGACTTTCACTTTCACTTATTTATCACTTTGCCTCTCAATGAATTCTTTCTGGGCTCAAAGATAAAGAACTATGGTGCCAGAGCTCTTTGGAGCCCCTGTCATGACACCAAACAGTTTCACCAATAGTCCTAGTTTTTGCAGTTAACCTTTATTTTTTTGTCAATAATTATTCATGGCTTTATTAAATAAAAGTCTCTTTAGAGAACAGTAAGAAATTAATTCTCAGCTAACATCAGGGAAGAGTGACAGGAGGTTACAATTTTTTTTAATGCATTGATATTGATAATAACATTAACCAGATAGGTACTATATTTCAAAAAATATTTTTAATAATAAATCACTATGTTACATTAATACTCTGATGCTCTCATTAAATCAAAACTGTTTAACGAAAATGGTTCTATTTAAAAGATACTTTTAATTTTAATGTGATATTTTAATATCACTACTGACAATGTCTGGTAAAATATTATAGAAACTACTTTGGTAATGTACTCTAAAAATGATGATATAAAGCTTAGCCATTTAAGATACACTATGATCAAAGGACCAGAGAATGAAAATAAGAGAAAGATATAATAACAGAAGTATACTATACATATATAAAACACTATATAGAAATAACAGAAGTACACTAGACCCCATGAGAAAGAGAAAGAGACATAAAGAGGGAAAGAGACAGAGGGAAAGACAAAGAAAATTATTTGGACACAAAAATGAGCCTCAATAGATTTTAGCTGAAACACTTAATGATATTACTGAAAATCATATTTACCCTTAATTCCAAAAGGAAACTTTGCAGGGAAATTTTGTGCCCAATGGAAAGAAAACATACATTTATATTTATTTAAAATTTTATTTTATCTTATTTTATTTTACCTTATCTTAATATCTTATCTTATTTTATCTTATTCAAATTCTTTTCCTATTTAGTTTGTTACATCATATTGAGCAGGGTACCCTGTGCTATATAGGAGTTGTGGGCAACTTTTATTAGTATATGTACTACAAAATTGTTGCTGTCTGTTGGCCATCACCTCTGGAATATGATCATCTATTATTTAACATCATAATGTGAGTTGCCAGAATGCAAGTTGCTAGTAACCTGGAGAAAATATGAAGACTAATTAAAAACAAAACCCAAAGACCATTTTTCTCTTAACCTCCTATAACATAATTCACTGTGCAGTAATATTTAAGTAACATATCCAGAAGCAGAATAACTAATATAACAATTACACACCTTCCCTCTCACCCACCTCTAGTCCCTCAA